GTTTGGGTGCTAGGGGGGGTGCATGAATTGAAAATGGAAATGGTGTATGCTAACTTATTTTAGGGTCCCCTATTTTCGGAAACCACCATATTTGCTCAGCCCTATAGGCTCTTAAAGCTTAAAGCCCAAAGTTCCCAAACCTATATTGCTCCCTAAGCCCTACCTGGCTAAGAAGCCTGCCTTTTAGGGCTCCATCAATTATGATGTCCTTACAGAGTCGCTTAAAAACGGTAGGCTTTTTGGGCTTATGGTAGTTCCTAAACTCTAGATTCCCCTCTCCCCCTCCTCAGCGTTTGACATTGAAGGTTTCAGCAACATCAAGGTTGGCGAGGAGTGCTGGGTGAGGTCCACGCAGGCCTGGCACAGAGCTCTAGGTGCAGTGCGGTTTAATCCCTACAAATTATGGGGACTGCATTTGTTCAGCAGGGTTTTGGGGAGATGGGGGATATGTGATAGAACATAAGTTTGATAGGGGCTATCAAGCGGAGTTTAAGGCTCTGAGGACCTGGGTCAGATAGCTCGCTGTTCAATTGCTCTTCCCCCCTTGTGTTTGGGGGGGGGGGCAAACTCCTCACAGTTTCGTTGTTGAGCTGAAGAGAATTCTGGAACAGCAAGCGGCACAGTTAGTGCTGCTGTGGGCGAGAAAGCCTTAGTTGTGGATTCAAGAAAGACCCATTAGTTTTCGGGATTGGACCCTTTGGTTAATATAGATATGATAACAGCATTATATGCCCCACCCCCTCAAAAACAACTTGTTCGAATAATTCAAGCCTCCATATCCCCGACCCTCCTAAACCCTAAACGCAAGGTGTGCTGAGTCAGCTTGGCTTCGTGGACTTGGATCACGGTCGATGCTTCGAAGGCAGTCAACAAACAAATTGAAACTTAATCCCGGAAACTGGCAGGGGAAAATAAGGGCACCTTATTTTGGGGTCCTCATAAGAAGGATCCTACTATTTAGGGTACTATATTCGGGTCTCCTATTTTCGGACCACACATCCTAAACCCTACAATAGCCCTAAACTTAAAGCGTACAGCCTATGAGCCCCAAAACTAAAAAAACTACACCCTCTTGCTCCCTAAGCGCTTAGACTTAAAGCCCATGAGCCTCAAGCCTTTAACGTATGCCCTAAACGTCAACCCCGTCAAAGTTCCAGGCAAGATCCAAACCTTCGCCGACTGCTGCAGCGTCGGCGACTTCGAAGATCAATGCTGGGGCGCTGGATCGGATCTTTCAGCACGTGACAAGGACACAAAATACAAAGAGCTATCGGCACAGACCCAAAGTCCCTATAGCGCAGAGATCCATGATGATGGACCTCTGGGTTTTTCCATTCGCAGTTGCTTTGCCCGTTCATGGCAAAATCTCTCGACGTCGTGGCACCCTAGATGCGTTAGGATCCGAAAACCGAAACACGGAAAACTTCAACCACTGATCCTGCTGCGCTCAATCCCATGAAGCCCGACAGCTCAACCCCTGATTGCACCCTATATAAGCCCTCCTGCTCCCGGCCTCCCAAGCTTTCAGAGACCCTAAACCCTAAAAAGGGGCCTTAATAATTAGAATAGGGTTTTGGGGTTCCTTATTATCATATATAGTATAGTATGCCCCCAAACCCTATTCTTATTATTAAGGCCCCTACATTAAACCCCAAACCCCAGCCCTCAGGACCGCTGCTGCGGCGGTGCCGCAGGGCGCCGCACGCTGAGCCCACAGCTCGTTGCCTCCGTCGCGGCACAGTTGGGAAGCGCTTCCCCGAAGAAGCCGCCCTCGGAGGCCGCATGGAACTACCCATAGGCCCCATAGTAGCTCCTTTTTGGAGACTACAGGTAGTAAGAAGAATCATTTAGTGATTTCAACGCATGGTCAAGGTTTATACATTTAGTGTTTTTTCAGGTAGTTAAAGGAAAGCCCCAAGTTGCAAACTCGCTGAGGGCCCCCATGGTGGATGCAACACAAGGCTGCCCCTGGTCTTGAGACGTTTGCAGGTGCTGGTTCCGGCAGTGGATGCCTGGTTGAAGGACCCGGCTGGCAGACTGCCCAGTGGCGAGACCTGCAGCATGGCCCTGATCTACTTGCTTGCGGAGGATGTTTCTGCAGAGGACCCTCGAATCCCAAAGCTGATATAGTCCTACGAGTCCGAACCCGCAGCCCTAAAGCATAAACGCCAAGCCTGAGTTTGCTTGAACTGACTAAGCCTACCGCCAAAATCCTAAAACTTAAACTATCAGTTCTATAACGCTACACAAGCTCTAAGCTCGTTGCCCTTATTTCGAGACCCTAAACGCCTAAACTCCTGCATCCTAAACGTATAAAGCCACCTAAACCCTAAACCCTAAACCCCAGCCCTAAACCCTAAACCCTAAACCCTAAACCTTAACTCTAAACCCTACGCCCTAAACCTCTAAGCCCTAAACCCTATAAAGCCCTGAAGAGGATGTTCTCCATCAGCAGGGTCAGAATCTGAAGGCGCCAGGAGAGAAGCTTGCTCGCGATCTGAAATCCATGCAGGGAGCCCCTGGCAGCTCTAGCAATCGCCAGTAGTACGGTTTTACGGTTTTTTTTGTGTGTGTCTTTGTTGCTTCCTGGGTTGGATGTTGTTTTCTCTGCCTGAAGGGTCCAAGTATATACTCCTTATTTTAGGACTGTAAGGGCCTTCTGGGGTACCAAAAAACCATAAATCAGGGCTACTTGGCTAGTTAGGGCCACTGTTTTTGGGGCACCTAGGCAACCAACACCCTAAACCGAAACCGGGCAACCCTGAACCCGAAACCCTAAGCCAAGGCATAGTTGGACAAGACAGCCACGAGAGCTGGATCCCTGTGCCCACGCTGGCTGCATCAGGGGGCCGCCGGGCTCTCTACACGATGCTTGGTTTAGTAAGGTTTAGGGTTTAGGGTTTAGGGTTTAGGGTTTAAGGTTTAGGGTTTAGGGTTTAGGGTTTAGGGAGGGTTTATAAGGTTTAGGTAGCTCCAATCCTAAGCTTCCTAATGCTTACATCGTAAAGCATTGAGTTCCTCCAATCTTAGCCCGACAACATGAAGTCCTCAACCCTAAACCCTGCACTCCTGTGCTTCTAGAACCCATCCCTAGAGCCTATATGCCCGAAGCTCCAAAGACCCTAGACCCTTGGCCTTTAAGAACATTAAACCAGTACCCCCCAAATCTCGCAAGCTCCGAAATTAATGTGCGTGTGTGTGTATATATATATATATAGATGTGTGTTTGTTGTTTGCCTATTTAAAACTTGTTTGCATTTATTGTGTTTTACTTACAATGTGTATGGAACTCAGGACCATCGCCCTCTCTCCGCAGCTTCTGCCCCTGGAGCCCGACGAAGCCGAGGCCGCGGAGGCGAACGCGCGGACCCGCACGCCGGGCCCCTGGGAGGAGGCCCCAGGAAAGCTGGCGGTTGCTTTAGGGTTGGGTTTAGGGTTTTTATGGTTTAGGGTTTAGGGTGTATTTGTTTAACTGTGTATATGAGTGATTGGACATTGGTTTATTTCGTTATAAATATGTGTAGATGCACATGCAAAAGTCTTGTATACACATACATATGTACGTATGTAGGTATGCAAGTAGTGTGTACATATGTAAGCTGATATAAGTAAGTAAGTAAGCAAGTAAGTAAGTAAGTGAGTAAGTAAGTAAGTGAGTAAGTAAGTAAGTAAGTAAGTAAGTAAGTAGCATGCATGCATGCATGCATGCATGTATGTAGATATGCATGCATGCCGGTGGGTGGGTGGGTGGGTGGGTGGGTGTGTTTGTATGTTTTTGACACACCGCGTTATATTTACGCATTCTTTGCAGGTATGCTTCACGTCTATGAGCTTCGGCAGTTATGACAGTTAACAGCATAGAGCTACTTGATTCAATTTCCACTGTTCAAGTCTTGAGGCCCACAACACGAAACCCTGAGCAACAATCCCCGAACCTTAAACCTTAAACGTCTTGTACAAGCCTGGCACCCCCTCCCCAGCCTTAAACCTGGGCGGTTTGAGGGTTGAGGGTCTCAAACCTGCCAAGCCCTAAGCGGAAACCTGCTAGGAAACAGAGAGCCCGAATTGCCTAAACAGGGGAAGTCCCTGAGTAGCTTAGTAAATTGCAGAGAAACATTGGAAGTATATTCCGGGATCCCTTTTCACCCTTACTTCCACCCTAAACCCCTAAACCCTACACCCAAACCCTAACCAAAAGCCGGAGGTCCGGCTGGAGGACGCCTCGGAGTCGGCTTTGCAGAAGCTGCTGGCGAAAGAGGCCGCCCACTTCGCGAGGCACGAGGCCTCTCCCACCCTCCGGGCGCTGCACCTCGGTTGCCCTAAGGGTCCATGTACTCATATAGTATAATATACATTGGCCCCAAGTACCTATATAGGGACTACTTTAGGGCCAAAGTATCTACTATTTGGGTACATGAACAACTAAGGTCTGTTAGGGGTTTCAGGCTTTGGGGTTTTAGAGTTGTCGGGGGGTATGAGAGAATTTGGAGTTGATATTATGGGGCCGCCGTGAGATGTGGAAGTTTGGTGGATTGAGGGGGCTTTCGATACTCCGTGTCTAGGTGTGTCCAGGTGTGTCTAGGTGCCCTTGCAAAACATGACACATGCTCCCCAAAGATTTCGAAGCCTACCGTTTTCGGGATCCATAAAAACGAGATGCCAGAAAAGGGATAGGGTAGGACCTTCTTCGCAACCTACACCAAGCTGATACTGCTCAGTAGGTAGCGAACTTCGGCCATCAGAAGAATAGGCGGATCATGTTGAATTGTGGGTTTAGGTTTCTCAGCCTGCAACAGCACCACGGTTTGACGGTGGCTTTAAACCCTGAGCCCGAAGCCCTAAACCGAACGTAGACTTGTTATCTGGTAGTCCCTGTATAGTTCTGCTATACCAATGCCCTGAAACCCCATTATTCTAACAACAACGGGCCCCGACACTAAGCAAGGAGTAGATCTCCCATCCCAGGCACGAGGCAGCATCCTTGCTGAAAGAACTGGATCATCGCAGCGAGGAGCTGAACAAGAATGCCTAACTCCTAAACAAAAACCTGGTCCCTAATCCCTAAATCCTAAACCCTAAACTGTAAAACCCTAA